AAGCCCCTCCTGGTGCCCAGCAACCCACCACCCCACCTGGTCTGTGGTCTTGAGCCTGAAAGTGGCCCCCACCCCCTGCCTCCATCGCCTGCCATACGTGGCGGAAGGTGCCTCCCGGCTCCCAGCCCCACTGCCCAGCCCAGCCCAGCCCAGCCCAGCCCAGCAGGCCACTCTCCCTGGACGGCCCCGAGGCCCTGCTGGGGCCTTTGCCTCTGGGGTGCTGCTGCTCATCCCTCCAGCTGTCCTGTCGAGGACGCCTTCCTGAGCAGCCCTTCTTTGCTGCTTGCCCACCCTGCTATGGGCTTATTGGGGTTCCTCCAGGTCAGATGTAAAAGTCCTAGCACCCTATGGTGATGGCCCACGGGGATCACAACTGAGATGAAAAAAGGCACAAAATGATGTAAAAAAAAAAACATTATTTAAAAAAAAAATCTAAAGCCACTTCAGCACTAGTTCGATCTCTGGCCCTGGAGATGACCCACAGGGCGCGGCAGACCTCTCCTGGCCCACCCGCTGCTCCCCTCAGCAGTGTGCTTCATCAGTCATCCTGTTCTGCTCCCCGCTCTGTCTCTGGTGACTCCTCTCACCGCCCCATGCGCCTGTGGCCTGCACCCCAGTTCTGTACGCATAAATACTTAAAAAAATAAAAAGTCCTAGCATCCAGGTGCATGTGACTGTTTTTGGAGAGAGGAGGCCCTTTAAAGAGATAACTAAGTTAAAGTTGGGTTGTTTCATTTTTATTTTCATTTTTTAAAGGATTTATTATGCACACAGGAACTGGGGTGCAGGCCAGAGGTGCAGGGGGTTAGAGAGAATTCACAGAGACACAGTGGGGAGCAGAACAGGCAGATCCACTGAAATCCACTGCTGAGGGGAGCAGCGGGGAGACAGGAGAGGTCTGCTGCGCCCTGTGGGTCACTCCCCGGGCAGGGGATGGAACTCATGCTGCAGGGGCTGGTGATGGCTTCCTAGCGCCGAGACTCAGCCCCACGCACCACCAGGGGGCCCTCTTGGCTGTTTCATTTTAAACCAGGGCCTGCGGATGAACCTGACTCAGCATGACCGGCGTCCACACAGAAGGAACCCACAGGAGACCCTGGGCCAGACGGCTGCTTCCAGACCTGTGTGATGTGCCGGAGCCCGGGCTTGGCTTCCAAACTCCAGAACCGTGAGGGGTGTCTGACATTTCAGCTGCTCGGGTCTCCGGTGCTTGCTTACGGCAGCCTCGTGGTGGGAGCCCAGAGTGGGATCGTGTCCGGTGCAAGTTTTCACATGGGCCAGAACCAGAGGTGGGCAGGTGACGGGCGAATCTTAAGCTACACACGGATGTTTCCAGGAGTCTGAGACGGGGACAGAGAGGACCAGCCCAACCAGACCCCGCCGTGATAAACTCCACAGTCCTTGAGCAGGCACTGGGCGATCTGTAAGGACAGACTTTGTCCTGGTGATGTGCAGACCTGGGGCAGGCCGCGGAGTCCACCCTCGGGGTCCCAAGGACCGTGCGTGACTCCCAGCACAGGCACAGACTGCCGGCGACGCGGGCGGGAGCGGGGAGGCCTGGAGGGCCGGAACCCTCAGCGCTAGCAGCCGTGGCTGTTACTTACGGGCTCGGCTGGCTGAAGGACTGAGAGTTGGTGGAAGAAGCTGCGGCCTGGGCCCGGGCCCTCTGACTGGGACACAAAGAGCAGCTGCTGTGTCCTGGACCCCAGGAAGGAGCATCTCCCGGGCCAGATGGTGGCCGTGCCGGGAAAGGCTCCGGCTGCTCAGGGACGAGGGCTGGTCCTTTGGATTTAGCCACGTGGAGGTCACGGCTGCTCCTAACGAGGGCGGCGTGGGAAGGGCGGTGGGCAGGGCCTGCTGTCTGTCTCCTCGCTTGACCCTAGTTACTTCAGATGGCTGAGGTCATGTGATGAGCGTCTCTCCCCTTGGCCAGTCCCCGGCACCCCCCGCCCTGTCCTAAGCCAGGGCCTGTGGGCATGAACCAGCAGAGCACGGCTTCTGCCTGGATTTGGCCGCGAACAGCACAATTAGGTGATGACACATAGGATCTTCAGGGCTGGTTGGAGTTCGTGTAGCTTTGTAGTCGCCTTCAAAGGGACTCATTAGGTGGACAACTAATTGTGACTTGATTTTATGCCCTCGTAAGAATTTTCCTCTAAATGCAACCAGAAGTGAGAAAAAACCCTTTCATCAGAACACAGCCCCGTTGTGGGTCTTCGAGGGAATATGATCCGCGCAAATCTGGCCCAAGCAAGTCAAATAATATATAATGTGTTCACTGAGCTTCATGTGTCCTGTGTGCTGGGCTTCAAAGAGTGCTATTTTGAAATGAAACTTAATTTTTCAAAGTACTTTTCATACACATTTTATCAGGTATTAACAAACACTGGATATTTAAAACCTTAAACATAGAAAAGATACTGAAGGTAATATTCTTGGTCTCTCTGGTGGCACAAGGGTTCAGTCTCAGCACTGTGAAGCTATCACCAGTCACTGCAGCCAGGGGGTGGCCCACAGGACACAGCAGACCTCTCCTGCCTCCCCGCTGCCCTTCGCTGTGTGTCCAGTAAATCTGCCTGTTCTGCTCCCCGCTCTGTCTCTGTGAATCCCCTCAAGCCCCAGCACCTCTGGCCTGCACCCCAGCTCTTGTGTGCATAATTGATCTTTCAATTCACCCATCCATTCATGGCAACACCCCATGATTTTATTATTTTTGCTTTCCTCACCCTTAACTCTGAGTCCTTAAAGTCTCCAGAGAAGCCTGCAGGCAGAGGCCACTTTTCACAACACTAACAGTCCAGCCTTGTGAGCTACTCAGTATCTAGGTCTTCAGTTTTCTCATAAACACCTCTTTCACTGAGCGTGGACCAGAGCGCGCTGATTTAGCACAGGGCTCCCTTCCACTTCCTCTCCCCAGCCCCCCATGCGATGTATCTGTTGAATAACAGCATGCGCTATCAGGCCGAGCTTGTAGCTGAAATTCCTCCAGAAACAGAAAATTCTTATCTGTTACTTGTTTACCCCCAGAGCACATAAAGAAAACAATTCTTTTCCTTTACTTACATTAAATAAACTGAAAATAGTACACTGAAATAGAGTCACGTTGAAAGGCCTCCCTGGTGGCCCAGGGGGGAAGGTCTGCACCATGAAGACCTATCACCAGCCAGTGCAGTAAGAGGCGGGTCCCTGGTTATGTAGCAGGCACAGGTTTCCCGGACGCCGCCGCCACCCCGGATGTTGGAACTACAAATCCCGTCAACACCAAGGGGAAGCACCTGGGAGGTGAGGGCGGAGCTCGCAGCCAGGCTGGGATAAAACCCGACCTGCGGGCTCCGGGGTCTCTAGGCCTGGTGGTCGCTGCTGGTCTCTCCCTTGGCCTCGTGACAGGTGGCTGGTCACTTAGCTCGTGATCAGCTTCAGTGGCTACTGGGGTTCCAAGTCAGCGCAACTGGTAGGACGCTCTAGTTACCTTGTATCTCTCTTTCCCTGGGTTATTCCTTTTCCTTTCCCCTCGTAAACCAAACGTTTGACCCTTGTTGTGCGCGTCCACAGCACAGCTGACTCTTCCGCACGTGGGTGAGGACCCGCAGACAGGCAGCCCAGTTCACCTTGGGAGCCCTGTAACAGAACGAGTCACACTGAACTCGGTGAATTGTGCGACTAGCTTGGTGCCAGCTACTTCTTTGGCTGGTGATCAGTTCATTCAGTTTTGCTTTTTCCCGCTCATTACATGACGTTGTGAGCACTGAGGTATTCCCAGACACTGTAGTTTTGACCTTGTTTATTCTACAAAGAGACCAATAAGGAGGTCTGCCTGCCACCCCTCCCCCCCCCAGCACCAGACCTGGGTAAGCAGATGGGGTGAGCAGGGGGAGGCCGGCAGCGGGCGGGCAAGGCGGGAGGCCCACCCCACCCAGTGTTCCCTGCTCAAGAGCAGAACAGGTCTCCCCTGTGCTCACATCGTAGGGACACACTGGCCTGTGTCCTTTCTGTCCTTTAAGGTTTATCTATTTGTGAATGTAAGAGCAGGGGTACAGGCCAGAGGCTGGGGGGAGGGGGTGAGAGGATTCACCAGAGACAGGAGCCGACCAGGCAGATCTACTGAAACCCACTGCTGAGGGGAGCAGCGGGGAGACAGGAAGGGTCTGCTGCGCCCTGGGGTCACTCCCTGGCGGGGACCGAACTCGGGCTGTGGTGGTGTGGACAGCTTGCAGTGTGAGACTCCGCCCCTGCACCCCAGGGAGGGAGCGCAGTGGAAGGCAAGGCCGCCCCCAGGTCCTGCGCTTGGCCACCGACCTGCGTGGGAGTCCCCGCCTCCGTGGCTTCCTGTGGAAGATGGGCCTGCTTGACTCTCAGGAGTACGTGGCTTTTTTTGTGCCATGAAACATGCCCATAACCTGTGCTGTGATGTGTTCGTGGAGAGGTTGCCAAATAAGACACCCCAAGAGTTTCAGAACTGATCTCCAGACACCCCATTTGGCAAGAAGTGTATTTTTGAACTAAGAACAATGAAATCTCTTGAGGCCGAGACGCTTCTGTCCTGCCCCGGTCTGCCCCTTCCCTAACTGGAGAGATCAAGATTCTCAGCTCCTGCCCTTTGCCTACCTGAAGAGTCTTTACTTACTGCCTGAAGGATGCAGTGCGAGGGTCCCCCCAGGTATGGGTGTACCTGTGAACCCTCTCTCGGGAAGGGTGTGGCCGCCCCTTCCGGTCTGCCCTACCAAACCCCCCCCCCGAACCATGTTCCCTGTGCGCATGGTAAATACTCCGGCTGCTCCATCACTCAGAATTTACAAGCATGTAAACCCTTCCCACACATGCTGAATTTAGGTCTTGTCTCCTACTGCCTGATACCCACTTGTCTGTCTAGCCCAGAGAACCAGACTGGGGGTGGGGGAATCACCTCCTGCACCCGGTGCCCGGGTTCCCTCACGCTCCACCCCCCCCCCCCAAATCACACAAAAACACCGAAGAGCATTTTGAAAAAGTGTTTTGTGAATTTACTGTACAGTTTTTTTTTAAACAATTTATTTATATGTTGGCTTCTACATGCTCTTACATTTGTGTAAAACATTTTATACATATTCTTTACAATTTGTACATATATTAAATGGCTGTATCATAAACGGCGTTCTATGAGATTTTATAAAAGAAAAATCAAGTAGGGAAAATTACTTATAAACATTAACAAAAACCCGTGATACTGAAGAACAGGAAATTCCCATGCTCATGCTCACTTGATTTCCTCTTCTGTTTATTTTTGGTTTCACGTCACGCTGGCCGGCTCTTCCACTGTCCATGATACCATCATCGGTCGGAAGGACGGAGCATGAGAGCTCATGTCTAAGGCAACCGTGGGGCGACCCGGCGCCGGGGAGCAGCGGCCGGGAGGGGCACCGGCTGCGAGGGAGCGCGGCGGCCTCTGCGTAAGCTGAAGAGCTCGCTGGCGGTCTGCTCAGCCACCTGGGCCCGGAGCGGAAGATGCTGGCAGAGGGGGGGCGCCCCTTACAAGCACTGGGGTGCTGGGGTGCCGCCCTCACCAGCCCAGGCCGTCGGGGCTCTCTTGCCGTGTTTCTCAGTCGGCCGCAGCGGGCCCGCCAGTCTAGAATATTCTCTCAGGCCTGCTGAGTGCGGCCCAGTGGGAAACTCTGCTCCTGGCAGCATTTCAGCCTGACTGGAGGGTGAGCGGCCGGGAGAGGGGCGTGAGCCCCTAGAATAGGCCTTCTCCATCCCCAGGCCGCCCCCCGCACCCCCCCAACCCCCCTGCAGGAGCGAGTGCAGGCGAGGACACTCCCCGGCTGCCAGGGACAGAAGGCAGCAGAAACAGGTGCCCTGGCCCTCCATGTGGCAGGGAGAAGGCAGGTGCTCCTGCACAGGCAGGAGCCCAGAGGAACAAGAGTTATAAAAATATATGGACATATATACTCTTTATTCTGGCATATGTCATATCTTTAAGAAAGCAATTAGTAATTACCTGACATTGGGTAAGAACCGGAAGAAGTGGGTAAATTATAAATTATAATTGTATGTAAAATATCAGCGGGGAAACCCCTATTACTCCATTCAAAATTCTGACGAGTACTTTTCAAAAATAGAGGTGGTTTCCACCGGCTTAGCACTGGCCACCAGAACGAGCTGAGCGTGCCCCAGATCCGGGGCCTGGGCGGGTTAGGAGGGGGTTTTTTGCAGCTCTTTTTGGTTTCCTTTCCTGTTTCATTTTGCTTGTAGAGGGGTAAAAAACTGAGCCACACGGCCCGAGTCAGAAAGAGGCACTTGGGAGCTCTCTCCGTGCTCTGGGCGGGTCTACATGACCGGGAAGCGGCCGAGGGCCTGCCTCAGCTTCTCGGCAATCTGTGGAGAAAGCAGATGGGTTTGAGCCCACCCTCTGGCGACTGTGGGAGGCCCATTACTGCTGGCTCCCTACCCCACTCTCCCGGGCTCACCGTCCAGCCTGGCCCTGCCCGGCAGCCACCGCCAGGGCTGCCCATGTGGGCCGCCTGCAGGGGCCTGCAGCTGCCCCACCCCAGGGAGGCGCGGGCATGGCCTCACCCTCGCTGAGAGCCCCTGCCCTCGGGGTGTGGGCTCCTGCACCCTTCCAGAAAGGGAACCCCATGGGCCGCGCTCCCCCACGGCCCCTGCTCTTGGAGGCATGGACGGCGTGTCACCCCGGGCCCTGGCACGAGGTGTTCAGATGTGTCAGATGCTCCCATTTCAGCAACTGAGCGGCCACTTTCCCATAACACTTGCATCTAACGAGACAGCGACTTCATGCTGGACTTTGCACCCCAAATCACCTCACTTGGGCTGAGTCATTTAACAAGTCAACAGCATCAGAATCCCATGTGCTGCCCTAGAATATTCTGTCAGGCGGAACAAGGTTACCCGCTGAGGCAGCCACGGTGAGGCGGCACCCCACGGGGAGCCAGCTCCTCCTCACCCCGTGCTCCACAGGCATCGAGCCCGTCATCGCTTCCCAGGCTCCTCCGTGGGGAAGGAGCACCCAGCCTGGGCCTACCCACGGCGCGAGTCCGGGCTTGCCGCACTGCCGGGCTGGGGTGGGGTGGGTCGCGGGGGGTGGTGGGTTGCGGGGGGGGTGGTGGGTCGGGGGTGGTGGTGGTGGTGGTGGCAGGACCGTGCCCCATGGCACCCTCGGCGCTGGCCCTGGGATGCGGGCTCTGCCTACTGCCAGGCCCCCCAACATGCTCATATAAACCTGGTGCCTCACTGGGCACCGCGTTTCAGGCCCACAGACACCCTCGCCCCACCTCTTGACAGTCCCCTGCCCCCCGCCCTGCAAAGCCTGACTCCCCACACAGGCCCGGGTGCTGAGCGGTGCCAGGCGCCAGCTCCAGCTGAGCGGCTTGGGCGGTGGGGTGACCTCACCCCATTCACCAGTGTCCCCCGGGGCAGGGAGCTGGGGGAGGGGCAGAACCACACAGTACGGCCTTCTGGGGCCTCAAAGCCATATCCAAGACCTTTCCTCAAAAGCAAGCGAAAGCAAACACAGGTGCCATCCAAAGACGTCAACCCTGCTCAGTGTTTTCCCTCCTCTGGCTATGGTCAGGTGAATTTCTGGTGATGGAGAGTGACCTCGAATACTCCACCTGACTCACCGTCTCGTAGAACTGCACCTGCTGCTCCAGGTAGAGGCGGATGACGCTGTTGTAGTCGTAGATCCGGTTACTGTGGAAGTGATTCATCTCCGCTGCAAGCAAACGGCACGTCAGTCCGGCCCTGCCTGCCTGCACCCTGCCCTCACCATGGGGGCCTCAGCAGCCCCGGGGCTGGCTCCAGGCAAATCACCAGAGGCTGGAGACCACTTTCCAGGAAATGCATGAAGCTCCTTGAGGCCCAACACCAGCAGGAAAGGGCCTCAGTTGTGTTCTCTGAGGGCTGGTGTGCGGGACCGGCCTGCACAACCACAAAGGTGGCTCGAGCCGCGTGACAGAGCTACCTCTTCCCAGGTGGCGGTCTTCTTACCAGCGCCCCCTTCCCCTCCAGCTGCCTCTTCTCACACCCCAGGCCTAGAAGGCTGCTGCGGGCCTCTGCCCAGGCAGCGCTCACTGGTGAGTGTTACGTTAAGCTCCAGAGATAGTCGTGGCTCCTGACCTGCCTGGGAAAGCCGCCTCCTGCCTTCTCTCCTGGAGGCCAGCCTCTGCAGCTCCCGCCAGCCCTCTGCCCCACCCATCCGCTGCCCTGCCAGGACCTGGGCACGGCTGTCCCTCCACAGACCCTTACTGGCCTCCTCACACCCACGTCAAGCCTCCTGCTTGGCTTCCAAGGCCCTCACACCCAAGGCGCTTCTCTCAGGATCAGACACCCACCTCTCACTCCCTCAGGCACAGGCCCCAGAACTGCTGCCCCTTCCCACTGGAGACCCGCGCCCCCCCCCCCCACACACACCGGCAGAACAAGGCGCACGGGCCACGAGCAAAGGGCTGCTGGATGGCCGTGCGTGGCGGGGTGGCCGGGCTGCCACATGGTCTCACGGGCGTGTGGAGAGCCGGCGAGGGGGCAGCTTCCGTCAGCACTGGCCCAGCCAGCGGCTTGTGTGGGATGTGCCGTCAGCTCTGACTTACTTGACTTCTGGTCACATCTGGCTTACTCTCCAGCAAGGAAAATCGAGGCCACCCCCCTCTTCAGGGACAGACACCCCACAGCTCCTCACGCGCCCGTCTCACCTTGCAGAGCATACGACATGGTGCCCACGCGCTTCACCATGTTCTGCTTGTCCTGGGGGGTGATCTTACTAGCCGCCACCAGCTTATCGCTTTCTTTCACCTTTTCTATCGCTCCCTGTGAAGCATGAGTCGTGACAGGGTTAGCCAAGCCAAGCCAAGGCTTTAGGCACAATTTAAACTCGGCAGTGCCAGCGCATTCCGTCGCTGCCTGCTGCCAAACAGGAAGAGGCCACACGGAAGCGCGGCTTCCTCTCAGCCGCGGGAGCGGGGAGTAGGCCAGATGCCCCGTTTCGAACCACAGACTCGTGGCCAGTGGCGCCCGGGCTCCAAAATATCACGGACCACTCCCGCGGGCGAGCAGCCACGGCAGAAACTCGGCTGGGCAGCCCAGCCCCCGCTCCTCCGCCAGAACAGGGGTCTGTGCCCCGGAGTGATGGGAGGCCACGCGTCCCACTGGCACCTCCTGAGAAGCACTGACTGGGTTTTGAGCTCCCACGGAGAAGAGGTGGCTGAGCAGGCCCCGGGTGCGCCCACTCCCGCCCTGCCACAGCCCTCAGGGCCTGGAGCTGCTGGAGCGGAAACCTCCACCCTCACGGTAAATGAGGCTCCAGCGAGAACTGCCTGCTGGCAAAAATCCCTACAAGCTGACCACAGTGCTGAGGACTTATTAAAACTGAGATTTTAATTTTAGTAATCTCACGTCCCCCCAGTTTTCCCGAGGTAAGCTGACATCACACGGCATTATCTTAAGGTGCACGTGACGGTGATGTGACCCTCTATTGACAGTGTGCAGAGACATCACTACGTGCACACGCCTGCTGGGGTGGTGGCTGCAGTGCGTCCTGTCGGCACCTACCACCTCCAGTCACACCTTTCCCCGTGATGCGATGTCTAAGCGCTGCTCTCCCGCGAGTCGGGTTCTGGGTAGGCGGCTGAAGGAAAGGAACTCGCCTTTCCAGAGAGCTGCCTGCTCACCCCTAACGTACTCACGAGCGCTAAGGCTGGAAAAGGCCTGAGGGACTCTGGCAGGGGTGGGTGGAGGCAGTGCCTGCTTTTTGGGATGTCACCTGCAGGTGCACAGAGCCACCCTCTGCGACAGTTCCACAGAATCTGCCGCCAGGAGGGGTCCCAGTCAGGAGGGGGTGCCCAGATGTCCCGTGGGAGATGCTCCCCATAAGGCCCAAGCGCACCACCCTAGCAAAGTACCCACGGTTCTGGGGGTAATGGGTAGATTTTAAATGAGAAAATTTAACTAGCATCAAAACTTAACTAGCCAATTTTTGATAAAAAAGTCTGTATGATGGAAATTAGTTTTCATTAATACAAACAAAACTGACGATTTTCCCTTTAATTTGGAAGCTACACCGCAGGCTCAGGGTGGAGCGCCTTAGTTCTTCTTGTCTGGAAGGACCCGAGGACTTGCCCAAGCAGCTCACGGGCCTCACTGACCAGCACTGGACTTTAGTCACCATCACTCACTACTCCGCCTGACACAGGCTCTAATCACAGGCATGAGGGTATTTTCCGTGTTTCTAGCTCTCGCAAAGTAGCCCTAAGACACAGACACCAGCCATGTGGCCTGATGCGTCCGGGAGCTCGGCTCCCGCTGATTTCCCACAGACGCCCCTGGCGGGGACGCCAGCAAGGCCACCCGCCCGGGCTCCGTACCTTGTGGGTGCCGATGATGTCGGGGAAGCAGCCGAGGAAGCCTTTGTACTCGTGATTGCACTCCATGAGGAAGTGCAGGTCCTTTCTGGGCTGCAAGGAGACAAGGCTGTTAGTCTGGCAACCACAGAAAATGAAACCGTGCTATCTGTGGTGTACACCAGGTTAAAGGGATCAGTGTTAAGTGCTCAGCCTAATTTTCCTACAAGAAAATAATGCCCAAGACTCTCAGTCATAAGCATTAGAAAACAAAGAAGAAAACAAGAGGAAAGTGACAAAACATCAGATAGCGTTTAGGTCCACAGGTGAGCTGGCCGCTGTGGGGTGGCCTGAGACACCCTGCAGGGGAGGAGCCAGTGAGACTCTGCATAGAAGCAAATGAGGTTACAAAGTAATGTTTCCATTTTAGCAGAAAATATAAAATCATCATTAAAATGTCATGAAAAGCCATATATGATAAACCCACAGCCAGTATTATCCTCAACGGAGAAAAGCTGAAAGCCTTTCCTTTGAGATCAGGAACAAGACAAAGATGTCCACTATTACCACTGCTCTTCAATATAACATTGGACGTTCTAGCCAGAGCAAGAAAAAGGCATACAAGGAATCCAAATAGGGAAAGAAGAAGAAGTAAAACTATCCTTATTTGCAGGCGATATGTTAATTTACATGGAAAACCCTAAAAACTCCACAGAGGAACTAATCAAAGCCATCAACCAGTTTAGCAAGGTAGCAGGATATAAAATCAACACACAAAAGTCAGAGGCTTTCCTATACACAAACAACCAAACAGAAGAAGCAGAAAAAAATAATCCCCTTTTCAATTAAAACAAAAAGAATCAAATACCTGGGAGTCAACCTAACAAAAGAGTTAAAAGACCTCTACAAAAAAAATTACAAAACACTGTTAAAAGAAATACAAGAAGACACCATGAAATGGAAAGACATCCCCTGCTCATAGATTGGGAGAATTAACAACATCAAAATGGCCAGCCTGCCAAAAGCAATATGTTTATTTAATGCCACCCCAATAAAAATCTCAATGACATTCCTCAAAGAAACAGAAAAAATATTGATGAGATTCATAGGGAACAACAAAATACCTCGAATAGCCAAAACCCTCATGTCTAAGAAAAAACAAAATGGATGCATTACAATCCTATACTTTAAGCTATACTACAAAGCCATAATAATCAAAACTGCATGGAACAAGAATAGATATACAGAATAATGGATTCGAATAGAAAACCCACAAGAGAAAACCTACAAGATATAAACCCACAAGTTTATGGACACCTAATTTTTGACAAAGGAGCAAAGAAAATACAATGGAACACGAAGTTTGTTCAGCAAATAGTGCTTGGAAAACTGGGAAGCTACAGGCAAAAAAATGAAACTAGATCACTACCTCACTCTACTCACAAAAATCAACTCGAAGTGGATTAAAGACCTAGACATAACAATGGAAACCATAAAATATCTGGAAGCAAAGTTGGGCCAAACACTACAGGATATACACTTCAGCAACATCTTTAAAGACAGAGCACCCAACACAACGATAGTGAAGGCAAGGATAAATAGATGGGACTACATCAAGTTAAAGAGCTTCTGTAAAAGAGCAAAAGAGACTTTACAAAAAACAAACAGCCCGTTAATTGGGAAAAAAATTTTCTCGCACAAAACCAGTGATAAAGGACTGATCACAAAAATATACGGAGAACTGATGAAACGCAACAAAAATAAAGTAAACAACCCCATCAAAAAATGGGCAGAAGAGCTAAAAAGACACTTCTCCAAAGAGGAAATGCAGATGGCCAACAAGCATATGAAAAAATGTTCACCATCACTCATAATAAGGGAGATGCAAATTAAAACCACAATGAGATACCACCTCACCCCAGTGAGAATGGCACATCTTCAAACAACTGGCAACAACAAATGTTGGCGAGGATGTGGAGAAAAAGGAACTCTCCTGCACTGCTGGTGGGAATGCAAACTAGTACAACCACTATGGAAAACTGTTTGGAGGTTCCTCAAACTGCTAAACATGGAGCTTCCATAGGATCCAGCAATCCCACTCCTAGGGATCTACCCAAAAGACACAAAAACACTGATTGAAAAAGATACCTGCACCCCCATGTTTATTGCTGCTTTATTTACAATTAGAAAAACATGGAAGCAGCCCAAATGCCCAAAAGTAGATGACTGGATTAAAAAGATGTGGTACATATATACAATGGAATATTACTCAGCAACCAAAAAAAAGAAACACATATCTTTTGCAGTAACATGGATGGAGCTGGAGAAGATCATGCTTAGTGAGATAAGCCAGAAAGAAAAGGAAAAATACTGGATGGTTTCGCTCACAGCAGGAGTATAATGGACCAGGTGAGAAAATAAGAAGAATAATGAACAGCCATATACCAGAGGCATTTTGTGGGGGTGGAGTGGGGAATGGGATAAAAAACGGGGGTGTGGGGGAGGGAAGTGCACAGGACTATGGTGATGGCACACGGGTGACTCGGTGATGGGAAACCCACGGGATTACAATTGAGATAAAAAAAAAAGTACAAAATGATGTAAAAGTAAACTATTATATTATAAAAAATAAATTTATAGGCCTTTTTTAGCTCCTCAAAAAAAAACTTCATTAATTATTTAATGTGGAAACTTAAAAATGTTCCATTTTGATGAATTAAAATTTATAACAACGATGTTACAGTGTGAATACTCAAAACTTTTCATCACAAGTGCCAGGAGAGTGGTCGGGGCCACATGGTCTGTGGCCGGCACACACCCCTGTCATCTGGGGAGGCTTTTAAGATGTACTTATTTATGCATGCAAGAGCTGGGGTACAGGCTGGAGATGTGGGGCATGAGAGGATTCACAAGAGGCAGAGTGGGGAGCAGAACAGGCAGATGGACTGAACTACATTGCTTACGGGAAGCAGCGGGGAGACAGGAGAGGTGTGCTGTGCCATGTGGGTCCCTCCCTGGCTGGGGACTGAACTCAAGCTGCAGCAGCCGTGGCCAGCTTCACAGTGCTGAGACTTAACCCCTCTGTGCCACCAGCGAGGGCCCTGGACTGGTCTGTGCAGAAAGTTACGACCCTTACTTAATGAACTCATCTCTCTGTGGAGGGTTGGGAGCGCGTCCCCGAGGATATCCACAAGGCCCCCGCCTGGCGGGGGACAGCAGCAGTGCGCCTGGGTCCCTCACAGCGGGCCCTACTGACCCTGTCATGGACAGACTCAGAGCCTGGCTCCGCAGGGCTGATGGTCCAAAGGGGCCGACGTGGCCCTTTTCTGAGCACAGAGGCTCTGGTGACCAAGAACAGACCCCAACCCCCGACGCTGGAAGGTACAAATTTAGATTCCCTGAGGACCAACCATCCTCACTTTAATTTAACCTAAGAAGCGACGTTGCCAAACGCAGTTGGGAGCCATCCCTGGGGCAGACGGAGAGTAGCCCTTTCGGAGGTCTGCCTTAGGTCAGCTTTCATGACACTTAGGTCAGATGGCATAAAGCTTTTCAGACTGTGTGGTCTCTTAGTACCTGCTCGGCCACGAGACTGGCTATTTCTTCGTAGGTCTTTCCTGCTTCCGTGATGGCATCGTTGAGCTCTGTTTCACCTGCAAGTCATTACAGTTATATCAGTGCATGAAGGTTCCGTGTATTCTGCATTTGCCAAATAGAAAAATTTCAAACTTTAAACAGGAGAGATAGTAACATGAACCCCATTTACCCATCACTTTGGTTCACAACGAAGAGCTCACAGCAGCTCCCCCTTCCCCTGGTCATGTGACATAAATTTAGCCAAACAGACGAGGACTGTGAAGTAAGGCCAACGCGACCTCCGTGCAGGGGTACCTGCACCCTGCCTCTGGGCTTGGCTGATGCAGCGTGAGGTGGGGCCGTGAGGTGGGGCCGCAGCCCTCCCCAGTCCTTACGCCTAGAGGCCTGATCTTATCCACAGGACACAGCTTCCAGCTACTTCTATTTTGCATGCCACCACTGATACCCTTTATTTTAGAGTGGATTTGCCAAAAGGAGCTATTCTACTCTGCCTCTAGCTTTCCTTTTTCAGCTGAAATATTTCTGTAAAGAAAAGCTCGCCTTTATCCACTTTTTAGTTACTTTGTGCTATAGCTGGAATAGGAGAAGCACATTAGAGACTTGATAATTTTTTCCTTATAGTTTCCACAATAACGGTTGTTCTCTACCATCTTCCAAAGGTACAGAGTTCAACATTTTTTCACTTTTTATTTAAAAAAAAAACTTTTATTTTTATATCATTTTGTGCATTTTCCCATCTCATTTGCAATCCCCTTGGGTTTCCCATCACCAAATCACCCGTGTGCCATCACCACAGTCCAGTGCATTTCCCTCCCCCCACTGTTTTCGATCCCATACCCCACTCCACCCCTGTAAAATGTCACAGAGTTCAACTTTTAAAAACATATCATTTGAGGCCCTCCCTGGTGGCACAATGGGTTAAAGCGCAGCACTGCGAAGCTGGCCGCAACATCTTCAGCATGAGTTTGATCCCCGGCCAGGGAGGTGACCCACAGGGCGCGGCAGACCTCTGCTGACCCGCCCACTTCTCCCCTCAGCAGTGTACTTTGTCAGTCGGCCTGTTCTGCTCCCCACTCTGTCTCTGGTGAAGCCTCTCACCCCCTGCACCTCTGGCCTGTACCCCAGTTCTGAATGCATAAATCTTTATAAAAAAGTATCATTTGTAAGTCTAGATTTAAACATCATTGATATACTTTGTTCCGCAGCAATTATTATTACCACAAATGCTGAAATCTTTTCTTCACTGGCCAGCAGAAGGCGCTTCAACTTGTTCTTTAGTTATGCATGATTTGGCTGGCGTGGGTGCAACAAGCTGCTTAGAAATCACCATGTTTGTGGGTGATGCTAGTGAATTAATCAGCTTCTTGATAAGAATTGGATAATTGGCTCTAGGCCTTTTCAATGAACAGAGCAAGGCTGAATGTGAGTTTCAGAAAAGGAAGATACATGATGAGCGCACATAAGCATTTCCAATTCAAACTTAGGACCATAGGGTTTTTCTGAATGAATTTTAAGGCTGGTTTTTAGAGTTATCTCTTAATTCTTTCAAAAATATTTATTTTATTTACAAAGGCCTGGGGTATAGGCCTGAGGTATGGTGATATGAGGATCCAACCCGTGCTGCAGTGGCGGCTGACAGCTCCCCAGGGCTTCAACTTGGCCCTGTGTTCCCCGTGGGAGGCCCGAGTTGTCTCTTTTATTTAAAAAACCTTAGTCATTAACAAGGGCAACATATCCCATACTTACTTACTAATAACAATACTATTTATTACATTGCTAATTTTATGCTTTCTGAAACATTTTCTGCAGTTCTTTGACCTTCGGTATCTGCTCTTAGGGGATTAGCCAAAATCAGTATTTTTTTTTTTAATGGCAGTATAATTTCTTTTTATGTGAGTATGTCTTCATATTAAGTATCAAGTTATTGGTGTTATTTTGCTTTTCAGGGATTTAAAAAAAATCTGTTTATCTCAAGCACTCACGGTTCCAGATTCAAATTTACAAAGCAAGATGTAATCAGAAGTCTTGCTTCCTCACAGACAAGCCCTGACAAACGTCTAGTGCCTGCATGATTTCCATGGCCATCTGGCTCTGAAAAGCCCGGCAAACTGGTCCGGGTCCCCACCACCGCATGGCCCGTGGGCGCGCAGAGCCGCCTGGCCCAGACAGACACCAGCACACCTGGCGGGGACAGGACATGGCTCTCACGCTGACCTTCGCTTCCTGAAGGTGGCTGCTGGGCACTAAGTGGTTCTTTACGTCAAGGTTTTTTGTTGAGCAGAATAATCTTCGAAACGAAATACAGACTGAGTCCTTTTCACACCTGGACAAGTACATTTTTGCAGCATGCAATGTATTTGCCAACGTGCTGACAGATGACTGCGAGCACAGAAGCTATGAAGGACGTCAGGCCCAACCGTGCTGCTGAGGGCCGAAGGGGCGCCTGGAGACAGGCACGGATTTGGGGTGTCTCTGCACGGTGGGGGGGGGGAGTGGCTTGTCCCTACTGACACCTGCATTTTTCATTCCTCTTTCTTCTGTCATTACCTCTTCTTTATTCTTGCACTTCAGACTAAAATTATATATATAAACTACTGCAGAGGACTGAATTTTGTTTTTAATTTAGGTAACATTAGTTCCCAACACAGGACAGGTTCCAAAATTACCCTTTCTCGCCATGCCCACTGCCCAGAGTCCATCACCAGTGGCACCAGCCAGGGGTCCTGCACCAGTTCTCTCCCCTCCTTCTCCTCTGGTAACCACTATTCTGTGGCCAGAGATCAGTTTTTCTTTGTATTCCAAAAATGTGTGAAATCATGCTGTCCTCCTCCTGACTGAGTTTGCTTATGGCAATCTCAGGGTCTAGCCACGCTGTCACAATAGATCGAGCTTGGCCTTTTTGTAACCGTGGAGTATTCCACGCATACACAGACTGCACCTCAGCCCTCTTCTCTGTCCCTGGGCCTTGGGCTGCTTCTGTGTGTGTGTGACTGCGAGCAGTGCTACGAAGAACACAGGGCTGGACACGTCTTTCTGAATTAGTATCTTCACATTCCTCCAGTAAACACCCAGAAGTGGGGTTATGGGTCTGTTTTTATTTTTTGGGGAAGCTCCCCAAGTCCAACGGGAAAAGGCTTGTAAACCTGTCGTCTTCTACGTGCTCTGTGGCTTCAGGTCTCTACGTCTGGAGTGACTTGAGGCGGACTGTGAGGAGTGCTCCGGCTCCGCTCCTGCCGTGTGGCTGTCGGTGTTCCCGGCACTGTTTCTGGAGAAGTTTTCCTCTCTCCACCCCATACTCTGGATCCCTCTCTCACAAACTAGCTGCCCACGTATGTATGGTGTTTCCGGGGTTTCGGTTCTGTTCCACTGATCTGTGTGCCTATTTTTATTCTAATACCATAGTGCTTTAGTTATATTAGCTTAGTAATAGTTTGAAGTTGGGGCACAGCACTTCTATTTTTGTTCTGTTTTGGCTATTCAAGGTCTTTTGTGGAAAACCTGATCATTTTGAAGGTATATGTTTTTTACTGTATTTTAAAAAGAATGAGTAATAGAACAAAAGGGAAGATTTATTTACAGTATGAAGTCTTAAAAGAACTTTAGGAAGCATTATCCAGACTGCCAACTGTCTCTGCTCCATTTTCTAGATTTGGGGGGAAGGAGGTCAGTTACCCATACCCTCTATTAACATCACGGTCACTGACAGTAAGGGACACTCCTAGCTCTTCTAGCACCACCGGAACAAGTGAACTATTACTTTCAAACTCCAGCGTCTAGCTCTCTATGTGGCTCCACGTGATGAGAGGCCATGAATCTGGGTACCTACATTATCACCTAGAAACAAACTGAAATTTCTGGAAGGATAATTGCTAGGCTTAAAAATGTCATCTGGAGGAGTTCTGCTTCCAGCTAGGACGTGGGTGACTGCCAAGAACTGCTGCTCCCATCAGCATAAGAAAATGTCACATAAAATAAAGTCACACTTTCCTTAAGTCACTGTAGGAATGTAGAGTCCAAATCAAGCAGATTCGGAAAGGGGCGGCCGTCTACCTGAGGCAGCTGACGCGGGCACGGGGGGGTGGCACAGGCCCTGCCGGGGAAGCAGGCGCCACTGGGCTGCTCCAGGGTGCTGGAGCTGGCGTGAGGGGGCAAGGCCCGCCAGAGCCCTCCTGCAGAGCTGGCACTCGGCACTCTCTCAGGAGAGGCTGGCGGGAGGCGGGGATCCGGTGAGTTTTGGCTCTAAGGAGGGCATCATGCCCAAGCAGCTGTCTTTCCTGTATCCCCAGAACAAATGCTCTTGTTGTCTGGACACTTCGGAACCATAGAGATGGGGGTGCTGCCAGAGCTCTGCCCAAACCGAGGCGCCAGCACCCTCCCTCGGCCCGGTGCTTCCCTCGGCCTCCTGTGGGCCAGACAGAGGCATCTGCTAACTTCTTCTTCCTGAAAGTAGACATTCCCACCCAAAGGCCCACCCCTGGGCACCAGGATAAACACAGTGTGAAAGTTCGGTCACCTCCTAAGTGACAGGACATATTTACACCTAATAGGCGCCACTTCCTGGCAGATGCTTTCACTGCCCACCTGCCCCATAGGCCAACTAAGCCAGAATAACCCAGGACGTGAAGGGAAACGGCGAACGTGTCCCCACCACTGGTGTCAGCGCAGACACGCAGGGAGCCGGCAGCACAAGCAGAGACTGACGCTGAGAACTGGGAGTTGCTCTGGGGGTGTCACTCACGTGGAACAGAGCAGCACAGCGGACAGGCAAAGCTGAACCAGAGAGCCCCAGACCTCTGACTGCAAACTGAGGCCAGCAGAGGGGCGGGGCGCCTGGAGCTCAGAGAAGGGCGGGGGCCACGGTGGGGGCTACGCGCCTTGGTGGGGGTGCGGTGCGCTCACACATCCGAGGAGCTGTGAACCCCGCCCCCGGTCAGACACCGCTGTGAATGACTCCTCAACAGAGAAGCAGCACGACAGTAAGTGAATAAATTGGTGACTCAGTTGAATAGTTTTTCCTGCAATTGACCTTGATGAAACCTGCCCTTGGAACAGGAAGACCTGACTGGAGTTCAGCAGAGCTGGAAGCCAGGCAGAGTGCGATCTGTCAAGACAGCTAAGACAGCTGTCCGCTGTATTAAACACAGCGCTGTGCGCGGGGCAGAGGGCTGAAGCCGGCGTCCTGAGCCTGCAGCGTCGTCAGGAGCGGCAGCGTGAGCAGGGGCCCGCGGGAGCAGTGCAGTCCATCCAGCCCGAGGCCAGGCACTCAGGGCAGGCCCAGGGTTGCAGGCCCGAGGCGGGCGCTGGCTTGCACCTGGCACCGGAGGCACGAGGGACCCCCACCACCTACCTTGATACCCACTGGAGCTGAACACGGTCGCCAGGCTCTGCAAGGCCTTCCCGATCTTCTGATACTCCTTGGGCAACGCTGGAGAGAAAGAAAGACGCTGTGACTGATCCCTGAGCAAATACAATGGGAGGCAACAGGGTTCCCTGGGGTTCTACAGTGGTCAGTTTTAGAAGGAGAGAGGTTTGAAGGGATTCAAAATAGTCTGTACCTTTAAATGAAATGATTAGTCTTAAAAAACTAATTCTTTAGGCCCTCCCTCGTGGCACAACAGGTTAAAGTGCAGCACTAGGCAGATAGCTGCAACAGCTTCAGCATGAGTTCGATCCCCGGCCAGGGAGTGACCCACAGGGCACGGCAGACCTCTCCTGACCCGCCCGCTGCTCCCCTCAACAGTGTGCCTTAGTAGATCTGCCTGTTCTGCTCCCACTGTCTCGGGTAAATCCTCTCACTGCCCCTGGAACTCCGGCCTGTACCCCCGATCTGTATGCATGAATAAATACATCTTAAAAAAATTTTTTTTGTTAATTGACCTCTCAACTCATGGTGAACACGATGACAGAGCAGCAGGGCCACCGCCCACTCGTCCTCCAGATGACACCGCCAGGCAGTGCAGCGAGGGAGCCCCTCCACACGCCACTGGCCCTCCAGGACCTCTGACCTCCACACACCCCGACCCCACGCACCCAGACACCCACATGGCCCCCAGCTCCGTCTTGTGCATCAGGAAGACAAATGACTTGCTCGGGGAGGGTCGTCTGGCCAAACTCTGGTGGCGCCGACGCTTCCGAGTGCAGGGACGCTGCTTCCCTGCTACCTTTCCTATGTGGCAACGACTGTGGCCAAAACCTGTACCGAAGGTGAACTGGCGGAGCAAACGTGGCAGTAGGCTTCACAGGTCCAAAGGGGCAGGATTCTGGCTTGCCCGTCTACAACAAGGCCAGCTAAGTGACCTCTCAGGGCCACCCTAGTGGTTCCGGGTTCCTGAGCAAGGGCCAGGCCCCAGGTGGTGGCCCAAGTCTCACAGCTGGGCCCTGAACCGTTCCTACCCCGGACAACAGAGCTGCGCAGTCCTGGCGAGCACGGGGGACGCAGCTCAGCGGGACGGCAGTGGCCAGAGGGACGGCGGCAGGGCACCCGCGCCGGGCCTGGGCCTAGAGGGGAAGCCACGGCCTTCAGCGGGACGCCCCGGGGGGCCTGTCTCATGCGTTGCCTGCTACGGCCACACCGTTTCCCTGACGATCAGGATTTTGGTCCGCGCACTTCTCACCGCGTGGGCGCAGAAGAAAGAGCAACATCACAGGGCGGCGAGCTCCCACAGCCAAGGGTGCGGCGGCCACAGGCCCAAGCCGCGGGGTGCGGTGCCCGGGCTGCTGGGGCAGGTTCCCGCGCCGCCTGGTGGGCTGAGCGTGAGGCTCCTCAGAGGGCTCTGGCCTCTGCGCCCCGCGCCCTCCCCGCGCCCCGCCCCAGGCCCGGAGGAGGATGCTTACGGCCAGTGCAGCGCTTCCAGTGCTCCTGCCCCACGGTGAGCAGCTCCTTCACGCCGTCGTCCATGGCCCTGGTGAACTTGCCCACGGCGTCACACTTCTGCTCTCTGGGGGCCAAAGCACAGACGCCAAGTCCACGCGACTGCCCCCTAAGGGCTGGCGCTCGGCGCAGAGGTGCGCGCACCCGGGCTCTGCCTCTGACTGACCGGTCTCTAAAACGGGCCTTTCAGCAGCTATTTAACGCCTGTTGATATTCTGACTCCGCTTCCCTTGCGTTATGAATTTTAACAAAATTTATTCTAAAGCAAGTCGAGTCATCACTTCCTGAATACGGTTAGAGAAATTCCACAGAATCCACAGCAGAGCAGCAGGGCCTGATGCTGCCCCAAGGAGCACCCTAAGGCTGAGAGGAGCCCGAACCCCCAGGGGCAGGTGTGGGGAGGCGACCCCTGACCTGCGAAAACCACGCAATATTCTGTTCAAACGCAAAAGTCGGATTATGTTGTAATACAGAACTGTGAGGTCATTGGCATTAAAATGGGCAGTTTTTCTTCGCGAGGGGCGCAGGGCTGGGACGCCTGTAAGTCAGGGCAAACGCTGGTGGCTCCTGGGGAGCTGGGCGGAAGCGGGGCTTTATTCTTATCTATAGTTTTGAGAACATGGAAATAATTATTTTGTTATGAAAAACCCTTCTTCAAAAAATTCTTAGTCCTTATATAGGAAAGGAAAGACACCAAGTTTTCAGCCAATCTACATTAAAAAACCAAAGGCCTAGAAAGGCCAACATGCAGGTCAGGGACGCTGCCTTCAAGCTGGCCGCTCCAGGTGACGTCCCCTGCAGACGGGGCGTGGGTTGGCCAGAGGGTGCGCTGGGGCACGTCCAGCTGGTGGCGCCCGCTGCCGCTCCGCACCCTTGGGGAAGCCGCTCCCCACTCTGCGCCAAGCTTGCATCACTGACTTCAGGAATTGGGCCCAGGCTTGTGTTTGGCAGAAAGACGCTGTCGTTCAACCAACACCCCCCACTCTCAGGAGACGCTGTCTCTGAGGTCACAGTGGCCAACCGGTAGCGCCGGAGCGGCCAGGGCTTGTGGACAGTCCAGCCGAAGCGCTTACATTTCTATTAAGTCCAGGTCAGGCGCCTCTGGCTCCATGGTAGAAAACACCATCACGCCCACCAGCTCGTCCTTCTCGGCCTTCCGCTTGCCGGTTTTCCATTCCTGCGAAGGAACGGAACGTTAGCACCCCCGAGCAGCATCAAGCTGTTGCCCCGCACCCGCCACGGCGCTGGCAACAGCACGCGATCTCACTTCCAGGGAGCCGCAGGTCTCAGGGGGCCCAGCACTGCCTCGGGCGCCGAAGCGTTGCTCACGCGCCCCTCGGGGGCCCACCGAGACACGCTGCAGCGGAGCGGTTGACAGAGCGCCTCAAATGTTTAGGCTGTTTTCTAAAAAAGGTACAAACTTTTATGAACTGTAACAGGAACTAACAGTACGAGCTATTCATTACCAGCACTACCGCACAGCACACATGCACGCAGGTGCCCACGAAATGTGCCCGCTCACCACTCCCGGGAACGCCCCCAGGCTGAGAAGAGCACGTGGCTCCCGGCATCCCCCACCCGCCACTGCCCACAGCTCCACCAGTCACGACACTTTGCCAATCGTGTTTATCTGCTGTCCTCCACCCCCCTTTTCTTCTCTTGCTTATCTTAACGGAAATCTCAGGTGTAGTGTCACTTCACCTGTAAATACTTCATTGTGTGTCTTGAACAGGTAAGGTGATGTTTTAGAAACCCAACCCAATACCAGAGTCAACAGCATACTGTGGGAGGGGTGGCCACAGCTCAGCCCCGCTCCGTGCCACCCGGTGACTGTCCTTCGCCGCCGTGCGGGCACGTGTCCATCAGAGGCCGAGTGTCAGTCTGGCCGCCCCTTACCTCAGCACCAGCCTCTGGAGTGCAGCTCAGAGCCAGGCTGGACCTCCCGGGGAGCCTCCTCCTACTTTGTTCCTTTCCCAGAGTCAGCTGGCCCTTCTCACGCTCTGTGTGTGATCCGCAACACGGGTCGGTGGTCGGGAAAGTTTACTTTGCACTCTTTGGTGCATTCTCCTGAGTTTATTCCTAGATTACTGATATTTTTATGCTATTGTAAACGAGCGTTTAGCCTTTCATTTTTGTTTATGGTTGATGTAATTACCTCTGATAGTTTCCCATAGATTCTGGGATTCTTTATATACCTATGTGAGCTCCTCAGAGTCAGAGTTTAGTGATTACCAGGTTTTGCTCTGCTATTTGGCAGGTGAGGAAATTGTGACCCAAAGAGATCAGAGATAGAAACAGAGCTGAGACCAGAACTCAAGCACCTGGCACTGAACACTTTCTTCTCTTCTTTCGAAGCACCAATTCTGGATATATTACTTTTAATAACATTTTCAAAGAACACACCACTGAAGAGTGCGTTCCAGATCAAGGTTATGGTGGACAAACTGAGGGAGCCCCCTAGCGAGGGTCCCCAGATACTTTTCTAAGAGCAAAGTCACAAAATTTATTCACTGAAACTTCCTACCGGACCTAGCCTCACAAACTGAAAGCCCACAACACACTGCGCCTGGACGCTACCTCCCAACGGCCAAGGGCCGTTTCTACAGCGCCCTGCGAGGCCAGACCGCCCCACCATCGCCGACACCCACAGCACATCCCAGTGAGCCTGCCACTTCCGGAAATAAGCAGGCACTGGAAGTAAGGCCAATACCCTGCTCCGCGAACACCCACAGTGCGCTGACACGTAAGGCTGTGTGAATGGCCTACTCTGGTCAGGGAAAACCACCAGTCAGCCAATCTCCATTTGAAAGTTCCCACCAGTCTGTAAATTCTATTATACAATAACACGTGAACTTCACTTCATGACATTTCTCTAGCACTGTAACTTATTTCCCATCTGCTGTCGGCATCTGACCTCACCTGCACGCCTACCTGTTAGATTATTCTCTAGAATACCCAATACTTGTACGGGAGGCATGATGGGGAAAACATGCCCAGGGAGCAAGCGGCTACAACGAAGACTCACGGAAGAGCGTTCTGAGCGAGAACTATGCTAACAAGGCAAGGAGATGCCAGTCGCCCACTTTTCCTGGATTTGCAAAAACAGAACAGATGAGCAGCAGGATGACGGGCCAGGGCGGGC